TTAAATCAAATAAATCAAATTGAAAATTAAACAACAAATCAATTAAACATTGTTGTGGGTACATAATTGAACATTGTTAGGGTACATTATTGGAAAAATAATGTTCCGGACTTTGTTAGAAATAACTCTTTTTCATTGGATTATTTCGTTTTGTGGGTACATTATTTGAACATTGCTTATATAAATTTGTTGTGTATGTATGTTTGGTTTGATTATATTGTATGTATTTTTCATTCAGTTGAGATGGGTTATGTATAACAAAACAATCTATCTCGCATGTGAGTACTTTATTCCAACCATGTGACAAGTGTGACAACTCCATCAACTCAAACTCAGCTTTGAACTCAATCAATATTGTCTTTTAGCTTGATGGTTCATAAAGCATGTTATTGAACAGTATGAATCAATTATGCAATTTTCATGTTCAATTTAACACTGCATTTCAAATTTATTTCATATGTAATTGGAGTTTGAATTTAAATTTCAATTTGAGTTTGAATTTCAATATATATTTCGGCTCACTATAAATATTAGCCCAAGCCAATATGCATGTTCATTGATATTCCTAATTTCCATTGTTTTTTTTCCAACGTTTAAACGCGAGGGAAATCCCGACCATTGTATTTTTGGTCAACTTTAAAGCGTCAGAAACGTTTCGGCGTATGATCTGGGTGGTAAACAAATAGCAACTAAAATCATAAGTCCGAAATGCTTCTGAGTACCACCAAATCATAAGTCCGAAATACTTCCGATGCTCATCAAAATTCAAAGCTCATATGGTGCCAAGCAAAAGGAAATCAAAATCCAAATCTCATATGATGCCAAGCAAAAGGAAATCAAAATCTACAACTTGAGTTTGAACATTGATATGATATGTTCAGTTGTTATCATGTTGGGATTTTCTCGTTTTTGATTACTTGGATAGTTGTTCTCTTGCTTCTTCAAGTGTCCTTAGCTTGTAATTTATAGCTTGGAATGTGTTTGATGTTGTATATATTATTATTAAATTAAAACAATAAACATATATACATATTTATTATTATCTTTGGTTAATGTTGTTAAATTTAAATTCTAAATAATATTTTATAAAATATCAAAACAATCAAATAATTTTTTGTGCAAATGAAATTATTAAATTAATATTGTAGGTGGAAAACATGAAACACTGTTAAAAAATTGAAACATAAATGACATAACTTTAAAAGAAGTATCAATCCTTTTATAAAAAGTATGGACACTTTCAATATAATAGGTAAAAATATGATGTAATAGGTAGCGCTTATATAATGTAATAGGTATCGTTATATAATGTAATATGTAAACTGTCTATCATTTTTATAAAAGTGTCCATACTTTTTTCACTGTGGAAAATATTAATTTAAGGTTATCCTTTGAGTGAGTTTTAAGATATTAATTTAGTAATTATAGGCGTCTAATGATTTATTTTTTACGTTACGATATATATTATTATTAAATTAAAATTCTAAATAATATTTTATAAAATATCAAAACAATCAAATAATTTTTTGTGCAAATGAAATTATTAAATTATATGTAGGTGGAAAACATGAAACACTATTAAAAAAAATTGAAACATAAATTACATAACTTTAAAAGAAGTATCGATCCTTTTTATAAAAAGTATGGACACTTTCAATATAATAGGTAAAAATATGATGTAATAGGTAGCGCTTATATAATGTAATAGGTATCGTTTATATAATGTAATATGTAAAGTGTCTATCATTTTTATAAAAGTGTCCATACTTTTTTCACTGTGGAAAACATTAATTTAAGGTTATCCTTTGAGTCAGTTTTAAGATATTAATTTAGTAATTATAGGCGTCTAATGATTTATTTTTTACGTTACGATATATATTATTATTAAATTAAAAATTCTAAATAATATTTTATAAAATATCAAAACAATCAAATAATTTTTTGTGCAAATGAAATTATTAAATTAATATTGTAGGTGGAAAACATGAAACACTATTAAAAAAATTGAAACATAAATTACATAACTTTAAAAGAAGTATCGATCCTTTTTATAAAAAGTATGGACACTTTCAATATAATAGGTAAAAATATGATGTAATAGGTAGCGCTTATATAATGTAATAGGTATCGTTTATATAATGTAATATGTAAAGTGTCTATCCTTTTTATAAAAGTGTCCATACTTTTTTCACTGTGGAAAACATTAATTTAAGGTTATCTTTTGAGTGAGTTTTAAGATATTAATTTAGTAATTATAGGCGTCTAATGATTTATTTTTTACGTTACGATATATTATTATTAAATTAAAAATTCTAAATATTATTTTAAAATATTAAAACAATCAAATAATTTTTTGTGCAAATGAAATTATTAAATTAATATTGTAGGTGGAAAACATGAAACACTATTAAAAAAAATTGAAACATAAATTACTTAACTTTAAAAGAAGTATCGATCCTTTTTATAAAAAGTCTGGACACTTTCAATATAATAGGTAAAAATATGATGTAATAGGTAGCGCTTATATAATGTAATAGGTAGCGTTTATATAATGTAATAGGTAGTGCTTATATTGTAAAGTATCTATCCTTTTTATAAACGTTTCCATACTTTTTTGACTGTGGAAAACATTAATTTAAGGTTATCTTTGATGAGTTTTAAGATATTAATTTAGTAATTATAGGTGTCTAATGATTTATTTTTACGTTACGATATATATTATATAAATTAAAAATTCTAAATATTATTTTATAAAATATCAAAACAATCAAATAATTTTTTGTGCAAATGAAATTATTAAATTAATATTGTAGGTGAAAAACATGAAATACTATTAAAAAAAATTGAAACATAAATTACATAACTTTAAAAGAATTATCGATCTTTTTTATAAAAAGTATGGACACTATTTCAATATAATATAATGTAATAGGTAAATTTGCAATGCTATCGGTATAAATATATTGGTTTACTTATAAAATAGGTAAATATAAGCGCTACCTATTACATTATATAAGCGATACCTAGTATGTTATTGTACTTTATAATATTTCCGGTTAAATAATATAACATAACCGGTCTAAATTTTAACCGATCACTTATTTAACCGGTCACGCCGTATATTAACCGTTTTTAAGCGCCGCACCGCAGAACTACCCATTGGATAAGTCATCCATACCACCATTAAGCTTATTAACGACCATAGTGGAATCTGATTCAATAACCACTTGAGGCCATTAGTTCTCGACCGCAAACTTCAATCCAACAATAACAACATTAATCTCGGCGAGACCTGGCTCCCCACAAGACGGAGACGCCCTAGCCATACCTCTTGAAGGTAACCCAGCAACATTACGAGCTATGACCCCAACTGCAGCAATCTGTCTATGAGGGTCAAACGCCCCATCCATATTAATCTCTATAAATCCCGATTCGAAGATCTCCATCTCTCTGCGAAGGTACCTACAATAAAGTTGGTTGCCATGTATCCTTCATTCGACCGTCCTCGTCAATTTTCTTTGCTATTGGGACATTCTCTGATCGGTGATGGCGTAGGGTGGCTGCTCTATTAGCAGCTTGATTTCTGGATGAAAGGTACTCCCGTTGAAGCGAATGAGTGTTAACGGCAACAATCCATGGGGGTTGATACTTAGCATCATGAACTTGAGTATTATGCCCATTCCATATATTCCATAAAAGGACTATAAATTCGGTGATTTGTTTTAGTTTCATTTTAGACGTTTAATATTTTGGTTCCAGTTGTATACCACATTAAAGAGGAGAAATGATTTTAATACTCTAGTAATGGAACAAAGTTGGTATTTCATGTTAAAAAAATAAATTAAAAACAAGTCAAATGTGATGGGATTTAAAATAATACTAAAACATGAGATAATTTAGTTGAAAGTAAAATACAAATCTAAGTGCATAATAGTCATGAACCCAAAACTTCAGCCTTTGCCAATATTTGTTGGGCTTTATTGATCGATCAAAGTGCATAGAATGAAATGCAGTAGAAGTGGCATTAAATTATTTTTTAATGTTTTTATAAAACTTTGAATTATTTTGTTTTTAAAAAATTTTCAATATTTTCATTTTTTATTTGTAATTAACTAAGTTATTATTCAAAAAATTGATTATTATTTTAATCAAAATTACATAGAATTAACTCATAATTTAACTCAATTAGTTTATATAACCTCTTACGTATTAGTTACTAATAATTAATTAGTCTAATGAGATAAATTATTAATTTTTTTGTAAAGACAAAGTTTAAATTTTAACATCATAAATGAAACAAATTAGATTACAAATAATTTTTTTTATTATAAAACTATGTAATACCACTATCTTAAATTTAATAAAGACATTCAAAATATTGCCACATTGCACTAATGGGATGGTTCAAGTGATAAGTAGTTTGATATCTCTTAAGTGGATATTGAGTTCGAGTCCTTTAAAACATTTTTTGGAAGTGAAAAAAGAAAAAAAAGGAAGCGAGAGGAGGAGTTAAAGAAGTCACAAAAAGGAGCTCTTGATAAATTTGTGTTTAAAATGTTGATTCTCATGAAATTTTGAATCAATCAACTGAAAATTTGCATACTGAAAATTCTGAAAATGTGAATGATGAAGTGAATGATCCAATTGACTTTAATGATGTGGCAATTGATGAAAATGTTGAAAATTTAGACATTGGTGAAGAAACACTTCCTCATTGGTGAAGAAATACTTCCTCATTTAATGATCTTGAATTTCTTGTTGATAAATATTATAGACATTTCTCATACGCATGTTATTCTAGAAAGTTGAGCAATGGTGAGACTAGTGATAGAAAATGGTTAGTTTATTCCAAAAATGTTGACAAAGTATATTGTTTTTGTTGCAAGTTGTTCAAATCGATTAGTAATGTAAGTTTGTTAGCAAATGATGGCTTAAGTGATTGGAAACATATTAGCCAAAGGCTTAAACAACATGAAAATAGTGTTGAACATATGACTAATATGAATACTTGGAATGAATTGAGAGTAAGACTGGATAAAAATCAAACAATCGATAAAAATGTGCAAGAAGAGATTATGAAAGAGAAAGAGCGTTGTAGACAAGTGTTACAAAGAATATTCTCTGTTGTGAAATGTCTTGCTAAACATAATCTTGCATTTCAAGGATCCAATGAAAAACTATATCAAGATAACAATGGTAATTTTCTGGGATTGATTGAAATGATTGCAGAGTTTGATGTGATTATGCAAGATCATGTTAGACGCATTCATGATCATGAAATTCATTATCATTATCTTGGACATAAACTTCAAAATGAGTTTATTTCCCTTTTGTCTCAAAGTGTGAGAAATTCTATCATTAAGATCATTAATGAAAGGTTGATAAAAATGTACTTGAGGTCATCAATGTCACAAGAAAGGTTGAATGGTTTAGCAACATTATCTATTGAGAATGAGATGATAGGAAACATTGATGTTGATGTTATTATCAATGACTTTGCATCTCAAAATGCTAGAAGAAACCGTTTCTTATGAGAATTTGTGTATGCTATTTTGTAAGTGAGAGACGTCAATTTTCAATTGAGAGAAACGATTCTAAGAGATGATTGAAGACATAATAAGAGTAAATTGAGTGAAAAATTGTGATATCTCTTTATATATTTGGTAAAATAATGTTGGTTAATGTAATAGAATCTACCCGTATAATTTTTAATGAAAAAATTTATTTGGCGTTTACCGAAATTTATTCTTGAATTTAAAATTATTTTTAAGGGCACTTATCTCTTATTTTGCCTAGGACCCTTAAAATATTACGACCGGCCTGAATATTACAACTCTTTCTTTGTCGCAATAAAACGCGTTAACTGTCGACCATGAAGTCGAGAATTAAGAACAACATTAACCTGTTTCTGAAGTGCCTTTAACCTGTTTCTGAAGTCCCTTTATACGTGCCTTAGTATTTGTGAACTTATCATGCTGCCATTCCCGAAGAGATGCACCGATTGCTTCAATCTTATTTAATGCAGTACCGTTTGTATATGTCCAAGCGGCTTGAATACGTTCACTACACACTTCCTCGTTTGACCAGCATGTATCGAACCAAAAATAGTGATCTTATTCATTTCGCTCACTTAAGCCTACTCTCCAATCCGTATCCATGACAAGGTAGCAATGGTCGGAGCAATAAACAAATTCTGTAGTGATACGAAATTGAGGATTTAATTGTATCCAATCTATCTTGGCAGTAAAGCGATCTAATCGTTCCAGAATTGTTGGACTGTTACGAGTACCACATGTCCATGTGAACCACCCTTTGGATGGTTTGAAGTCAGATAAACCATTACGATGCAGAGCATCACGAAAAGCATATGACCTCTTGTTTACGTCTACCTCCTTGTTTCTCAGAGTCATTTAACATTTCGTTAAAATCCCCTCCGACCAACCACGGAAGCGTCGAAGAACTTCGTAGAGCATCAAGTGTGTTCCATGTAATCGTTTTAAGAGAAACTTTCGAATGCCCATAAATACCAGAGAAATGAAAATGATTTGGAGCATCATGAATTAGCACATCAATATGGATAGCAGAATACGACAAAATATCCATATTGAATCATTGATATTATTCATCCAAAGTAACATAATTCCAATACATTGTTGACCACAATCCAGTGTAAAACAACCATGCATACCTAACTTGTTCCTAACATAATCACTTTTATTTTGCCTAAGCCTAGTCTCGCTTAAAAAAATCAAAGAAAACGAACGAGAGGTATTGAACCTCTTAAGAGAGTGAACTGTCGTGTCATTAGAAAGACCCCGACAGTTCCAACATAGTAGTTTCATGGCGTCCGACGAGGGTTTCCCGTAGCCTCCGCCGATATCTTTTTTGTCTTGCGAGCTGCCCCAACCCCATTATCGGAAGTAGAGGACACTCTAGATCGATTAGAGGTGATTGGAATCGTTGCTTCAAATTTTCCTTGCAACTGCCGTTTGGACGATATACCAATAACGTCTCTACCGTGGCGATACTTATAACGTTTCTCCATTGTAGTAGTAGAGACTAACAAGGATTCTATAAATGTTTGACTTCACCTAGGATACTTCCACACGTTAAAATTCCTATTTATCTGCTTCGAGCTAATCCAGTTAAACCAGCAGACCCCACTTAAAGTAAATGCCACGAGATTAATGAAGATATCTTGAAGGCACTAAAAAACCATTTGGTTAAGGAAGATCATGGCAGAAACCCTATTATACCAGATCATTACGTACTGCATGTATAGTAATGATTTAGCCAGAGAAGTTAGCCATGGGAAATTAATCAAGAAATCACTCTGTGTTTGGTGTTGACGGTATCCACTTATTTTCCATCGTCGTTTGAAATTAATGAAATGAATCGTTTTAACCAAAGTAACCCACCAATTATTCAACGCACTTATTATCATATGGCCAAACGTAACTATCCATACAAAGGTTATACTTAGTAACAATCTGAGCATGAATTAATAGGGTCCAAAAGTGAGCTAGGGCCCTCCATTTTGTAGTTGACATCAACAAGAATAATACCGCATTAGCTTTGTAACGATAGTAGTGGTCTGTTAGATTTGCCTTGAAATTAAGTTGGCAAGTTGGAAATTTCATCTTAGTTGGTGGCCAACTTATTAGAAATTTCATCTTGGTTGGTGGCCAAACTTTGAACATGAGAATTTCATATTTGGTGGCTAACTTGTACACATTGGAAAATTCTTTGGTAGGTGGTCAACTTATTTTTCATGTTTAATCCCTAAAATATTATGTTAGTTATAAGTTTAGTCCTTAAACTCAACTATAAATAGGCCTAAGTATTTCATTAGAAATAATCCAAAAACAAGTTCTCTCTTCCTTTGTATTCTTCATTCTCCCACTTTGGGAATTCTAAAGAATTCCATTTGTTGTAATATTTGTGATATAGTGAAGTTATCATCCGGTGTGGTGCCAGAGGAGTAGATGATATTCTCGTCGAACCTCGTAAATTTGGTGTGTTCTCTCCTTTATTGTTTTTATTCGGTTTTTCCATTGTGTTTCAATATTCAATAGTTTGATAGGTTTATCCGTTGTGCAACCTTTGGTGGTTTTGATCTTGACATTTTAGGTCATTTTTGAAACTACGTTCGTGTGGAAATAACCTGATTTCCCTAACAATTGGCATCAGAGTTTCGGTTGAGGTTATCCTGATGGTTCTGTTGCTGAAAAGATACAGTTCGTGCTATTGAATATTGTTCGTTGGAATTAAAATGCCAAAATACGGATCAGTTAAGACATCAAGCTCTTCATCCAGACCGGTGAGGAGGAGGATGTCAAATGCAAATTTCTCGGTGGAGTTGTTTGATGGATCCGGTCATTTTGGTATGTGGCAAGGAGAGGTGTTAGACGCTTTATTCCAACAAGGCCTAGACATCTCCATTGAGGAAGAAAAGCCCGAATCTATGGAGGAGAAAGAATGGAGAACAATCAATCGTTTAGCGTGCAACATGATTCAATCTTGTCTTTCCAGGGAGCATAAGTATGGCTACAAGAACGAGACTTCTGCAAGTAATATGTGGAAAGCAATGGAGGAAAAATTCCTAAAGAAAAGCTCTCACAATCGACTCCACATGAAGAAAAGATTGTTCAGATTTGATTATCAACTAGACACCAATATGAATGAACACATCACTGCGTTCAATGAGCTAGTGGCAGACTTATTGGGCATGGATGAAACCTTCAAAGATGAAGATTTAGCCTTGATGTTGTTGTCATCTCTTCCAGACGAATTTGAGCACCTTGAGACAACACTACTTCATGGTAAGGATAATGTTACCCTTAAAGATGTAACTGCTGCTTTATATAGTTATGAGCTCAGGAAGAAAACCAAGAAGGAGAGCAAGTACGAAGCAGCGGAGGCCATGGTGGCAAGAGGTCGCTCGAAAAGTCAAAAGCCAAAGTGGAGAGGGAGATCAAAGTCGAAGTCCAGACTGGGAAAAGATGAATGTGCCTTTTGTCATGAGAAAGGCCATTGGAAGAAAGATTGTCCGAAGCTGAAGAAGAAAGGAAAAGCTGCTCCAGATGCATGTGTTGCAGAGCATGATGCAAATGACTCTGCATATCATTGGTTGCTTCATCAACAACATTCCATTCAGATGAATGGATATTATATTCGGGTTGCACCTATCATATGTCCCCTAATCGGGAGTGGTTCTCCGATTTAGTAGAATTAAATGTATGAGTTGTTTATATGGGCAATGAAAATGCCTGTAAAACTGTTGGGATAGGTTCAATTCGATTGAAGAATCAACCAGAGTTCTGACGGATGTCCGATACGTGCCTAATTTGAAGAAAAATATCATCTCGTTGGGAGCCTTGGAATCCAAAGGCTCGGTAGTCACTATAAGATATGGAGTTTTAAAAGTCGCATATGGCGCACTTGTGATGATGAAGGGCATCAGGAAGTATTACTACCAAGGTAGTACAATTATTGGAGCAGTTGCAGCAGCTTCCGGATGTGATGATTTGGACGCAACCCAGTTGTGGCATATGCGGTTGGGACATGCTGGAGAGAAATCCTTGCAAATTCTGGAAAAGAAAGGATTGTTGAAAGGTGCAAAGGCTTACAAATTGAACTTTTGTGAGCATTGTGTTCTGGGAAAGCAGAAGAGAGTGAAGTTTGGCACCACTATACATAATACAAAAGGTATTGTGGATTATATTCACTCAGATGTATGGGGTCCTTCAAAGACATCGTCTTTGGGAGGAACCATTATTTTGTAACTTTTGTAGATGACTTTTCCAGAAGAGTTTGGGTGTATCCGATGAAGTCTAAAGATGAAGTGCTTCGAATTTTCCTCAAATGGAAAAATATGATTGAGAACCAGACTGGTAGAAAGATCAAACGTCTTACGACGGACAATGGAGATGAATATAAAAGTGACTCATTCTTTGACGTTTTCCATGAGTATGGTATTGTTCGACACTTCACTGTTAGAAATACACCACAACAGAATGGGATGGCAGAGCGTATGAATCAAACATTATTGGAGAAAGTTCGATGTATGTTGTCTAATACTGGGTTAGGCAAGGCATTTTGAGCTAAGGCTGTGACATATGTTGGCCATTTCATCAATCGTTTGTCGTCATCAGCGATAGGAGGAAAAACACCATTGGAGGTATGGTCTAGAAAACCTGCTACTGATTATGATTCCTTACATGTATTTGGATATACTGCCTATTATCATGTGAAGGAATCCAAGCTTGATCCAAGCACAAAGAAGGCTCTCTTTATGGGAATCACCCATGGAGTGAAGGGATTCCGCTTTGGTGTTTAGACACCAAGAAGATAATTTGTAGCAGAGATGTTACCTTTGATGAATCTGCCTAGTAAAGAAGGTAACAAATGAAGCTGTCCAGACAAGTAATACTCCGCAGCAGGTGGAGCATACTCCAAAACAGGTGGAGTTTCAGCAGACGATGATCCTAGAAGTTGATGCAACTGATTCTTCAACTTCAATAGAAGAATCAAA